AAAGTGTTTAGTAAATAATAATTGTTAGTCTTTTTTTTTTTTTAAAATTGTTGGTAATGAACCGTGGTTAACATGACGTGTTAGTAAAATAAAGATAATAAATCATTATAATATGTTTCTTTATAGTAATGAGTAATTAGTAATTACTAATTTATTTACTGTAAGTAACTATAGGTTATTTTTATACTATACTCAAAAGTCATAGTACAGTGTGTCAGTGTTACAGCAAAAAAATTAAATTTTTATTTTCGAATCAGTTGTGCTCATATAAATATAAATAATTTAATATAGTCAATATAGATAGTAAGATACCTATATTATTGTAACAACTTAAATATAAGATTGTACATGTCCTTATATAGTTACTATGAATTATTTTTTATAGTATACGTCATTATAAATCCATAAAAGGTTTCCTCTTTGTGGATTTGACACGAATGTGATATACCTATGTCCTATATGTAATGTTTCGAGCACAATATATCAATATCCATATTTTATTATTTTATTTTTATTTTATGTTCGATAGCTTTAAACTGTAGTGGAATAAGATTTGTCATCTAATGTATTATTATGTGTATTGTTATTATTGTTTATTGCATGTATCGCGTGAACGTCGTTTTTAACCTTGTCCAATTTTACCGGTCCCGAACTCGAACGAATCGGCCTACGCCCAATTAAGCGAGTAGGCAGGCACACTATATTATTTTATTTGAATAAAGTCTTTATTATTATATGTTAAATACTATGAGATAATTGATGTAGATGACCGACAGCCCTGTAGTAGTGAAACGTCGACACGAATTGTTTAGAAGACAATAATAATATAATATCATGAATTTTAGTTTATGGATCAATGGTTCATATACTAAATATACTGTTCATATGAATATATTTATACGTTAATCTAAAGTGTGAGCTGCTGTGAGATGCTGAGGTTTAGGTGTAAGTAAATTAATTTATCTATGTAGTAACCACAATATAAGTATTCCTACCTTGAATTGGTGCAGACCCGTAACAGTTGTTAAGCGTTGTTAACCAATTTGTGTTCCGAAATAGAAAGAGAGAGAGCGAGAGTGTGAGAGAGAGGAGAGAGGAAAGTAATATTACGACACTTCGTAATATCAACCGTGATAGTGAAGTCAAAAGTCTAAGCATGCTACAAAACAATTGTAATAGAAACAATAATAGTTTTAATTGCTTAAATATTTATAATTTTGCTATGTTATAATTTATAAATAATATTATATATACATATTTAATATTACCGAATGCAGAATAAAGAGTGAAGCTAATTGTAAATGTACGACTCCTTTCAAATGCTATAAAACCTGGAAACAAGCAACATCTTCAAAGGCTTAAGCTATTCGAATTTTTATCAAAAACATACTTCATCATTCGAGTATAATATTATATTGCGTGTTATATTTAAGTAAATTAATTTTATTTTGTAATTACTAATAATGAAATCTTATTTTAATCAAAAATGTTACGTCCAATGGCAATTGATGCCGTATATAGCTAATAAATAAAAATAATAAACACATTATAATATGTCATATTTTATACGTTACTATTGATGTACATAAGACATTTATTATATTGTAATACATTGACTTATATAATGAGAAAATAATGAATTTAGTCTACAATGTAATTTTATTCAATCTGCAAACAAGTGACAGGATGTTGTTTAATAATTCTTGATGTAGTATTTACTATAGACCGCAGTCAATAAATAATCAATAAAGGGACGCAAACAAATACTTTAGAATCTTATTATAATGTGTTCTTCGCTTTTATGATTTATTTTTCAAAAACATTGTGTTAGTTGCATAGGTACTTGCATATAGTTGTATGCAAACAGGAAACTATATTCATTGCATTCAATCCAGTTCAAATAATTTGTAAAGTAACTATTGTACTAAAACATTGCCGCAATATTTCAAAATAATAATTTATTTGTAGGTATAATATGAATTTCAGAAATATGATTTTTGTTGAGCGATCGATAATATAATATATAGGTATACTTATAACTGATGTATAAATAGGTATATAATACCTAAATATTTTTAAACAAACTTACGAGTTACGACATTTAATAATTATTTTTTAAGTATTAATAAAATTAAAATATATTATGTATTTATTATGTAACAATGTAACGCTGCTTTTAAATATAGTTTTTATTTATAAACTGCACATAATCTTTAGTAGTTAAGTCTAAGACTACCGTATATAATATGTGACTTGCCAATTTTAATGCACGAAAACCAATTTGTTATAATATTATATATTATGTTACGCGTGAGGATAGATAGTAAACAAATTAAAATGTTGCGTTTGCCTATAAGAGAATGTCACTCAGTAAAAACTCACACAATGCTTACGTTTATTTTTTATCGTGTACGACGTAACAAAATTCGTTCTGTCTATGAAGCAAGCTATACGAGTTTCAAATTAAATTTATTGTATTTTAACAAACGAAATTCAAAGTGGATAATAATTATAATGTCATTATTATTAGATTATAATAGATTATGATCTACAAATATGTACTGTTTATAGATATTTGTACAGCTGCGGATCTGAAACTTATTTAAGAGGGCCACGAGCTGGTATCATAGGTACTTGCAAGGCCGAAACTGAAAGTATATTTTGGAGGAGGGGGGGGGGTCAAACATTATTTTTAGTGTACTATACACTTGTAATTTGTTACTTTAAAATGTTTTACAACTAGCAATTGAGTATTGAATAGAGTAAGAAAAATGTTATATTTACGAATGTAAAAAAAACTAAACAATTTCAAATGCTTATAAATAGTTTAAAATTTGTCTAAACTCTAAATATACTAAAAATATTATTATCTATGGAAAAAGATTAATTAAGTAATAACTAAAGTTTTCAAGTTACTAAAATAAATATATTATTTGAATAATAATAAAATAATAAAAATTGATTGTTTAAACGATTATACAATAAAATTAAAAAATTAAAAAGTGTCAATTTAATTTAAAATTAGCACAAATTTTCTATTAAATATTTTTGTTGTTGTTAAACTTATCAATTATATTCCGTAAACAACTCATTCATTATAGATTGCGTAAATAATGTAATTTTTTATTTGTAGGATCATGTTTCTTTAGTAGGTATATATCGAAGTAATTGAAAAAATATTAATATTAAATGCATAATACATATATACATATTATTATTTATATAGATAGGTAGTACATAGCTATATAGTAGTTATAGAACTGATTGTGAACTGTTTCTAGGGATTGGAAATTGTATAATATACACTATATAAATATATGATATAAATTCCGTACTAGGTTATAGTACCTATAAAAGTATGAAGTATGTACAACAAAATAAGATTATTTAATAATTTACCCGGAAACGCGATACTGTGTACAAAAAATTACTTGAAAAGAATTGGTTAATTCTGGGAGTTTTTTTAGTGTTTGACGTTTGTACAGGTATTATTATGTTCACGGCGACGATGATTCACGATTCTAATAGTACCTAACGGAAATCGCCGGTAAACAACGTGAGAATCTCGTTTAAACTTAGTTTGGCCTTGTCAAGTGCGTTTTAAAATATCCGTTTTACGAGACTTCCTCCACATACAAATACAACATAGTCTGCGTTGTGTGAACTTAAGTTTCCGGAATGTGTTTTGTGCTAAACTGAGTTTTAAAACAGATTTTAGTCGACAACTAAAATAATATGTTTATAAGTAATAGTCAAATAGTCGAATATTTAGGTACCTAGACATAAACCCATTTTTATTAGTGAGCAGTGCCGGATCTAACATTTTTTTAACCCGGGGCAAAATATGAAATTGGCGCCCTTCTATATCAATAACCTTTTTTTTTTTTTTACTTATTACATAATTAAAAATTTGTGTCCCTTTATGACTAGTATCCGGGGCACGTGCCCCGGATTGCCCCCTCCCTAGATCCGGTGCTGTTAGTGAGTTATATTTTTATTTCGCATACCTAACATGGTGTCCTAATATAATATGAAGAAATGTTGTTGGTATTTAAGAAATTATCTGGCAAAACCCTAAAAGAACGAAATGTTTACTTAGAAGGTGTTCTCATAATGAGGACTGAATTGAGGGGGGCCGACTTTTCCCTATTCACACCGATTGCAAACTGTCAAGCCTTATAGTCACATGCCGATGTCCTTCACCATCCTTAGCATAGGTAGGTATGTGTGTACAGCTGCATTATTTGTGAAATGTGGTTTATTGACTTATTTGTTCCTAGTTCGTTGTTCCCGATTCTGTAAAGGATGATGATTACTTAGGCTACATAAGACATCTGAGCAAAGAATTAAGTGCCTACTAACGGATGTCGCTCACTTCAGTTATTATAGGTATATATAGTTACATATATGACGCGCTGCTACTTATAATTTTTGTTTTTTAAATTTAATTTTCAAATTTCTGATTCCGCATCAACTGATTATTGTCTATAAGTAGCTTAGGTCGCTAAGGTGTAAATGGTTAAATGCCAATTGAGAATTGAAGTGATAAGCGGCATCTAATTTGAACATCCTTTGGCCCTTGCCATAGCTGACAAATAACAACTTAATAGGTGTCTACTATACCTACCCTTTTTAAATTGGAATTAAGAAACAAACATCTTTTAATCCTAACAATTTACACAATCTAAATTTAAATAATTTTGTGTGTAGATTAGAGTACAATTATTAGTGGTTTAATAGCTAGCTAATTAATGATGACATAAGACAGATTTAATAAAACTGCAAATATATATAAATTATAAAATGTGAATAATATATATTAACCTAATTGTGTAATTATAAAATTTAACATTTTAAGTATAACACTTTTTTGGTTCAAAATTTAGGGTTAATATTCTTAATTAATAGGATAGAAGTTATAGTTGATCTAGAGTAAGTTTTGCCAAACATTTATAAACATAACAAAAATACAAATGTTTACTCGGCATCAATATGTTTTATTCTTTCACATACAATTTAATAAAATCAATATTTTTACACAAGTTAAAATTAATTAATTTTGTAATATATAATAGAATTCTGTACTAGGATTTTTTGTCCATGAAGTATGGCAATCCATTATTGGCCAAACGTTTGGTCAAAATTTCAACTCCAGTGTCGGTAACTAATAATGTTTGTTCAAATTGTGCCGATAACAATCCATCCACGGTCACAGCTGTCCAATTGTCTGGCCAACACTTGTCCCGCCAACTACCTGTAATTTTAAATTAAACATTTATAATTAAAAGTAGTAAGTAGGTAAAGAAAATATACAAAATAATTTATTAACAAAAAATATTTAGGTATCTAAATAGAAAATGGTTATAACATAGTATTATGATAAAAAAGTAGTTTATATTTAAGTTTTACTCAAACTTAAATATTTACGTATAATGTTCTTTGAGTGTAGAATATTTTATTGTTATTAGTTTTAACAGTAATTACTAATTACTATAGGGCTGTTAATCTATAATACTATAACATTTAAATAAATTAAACATTTAGAATGTTCATAAACAGAAATTGATAAAAATATCACACACAAAAAAAAAAAAAAAAAAAAAATACAAAATGGGATTTATTATTAAATAAATAAAACTTTCTATTAATAAAACTAGGTTTTACAATAAGTTAGAAAAATTATCTGTGGTAAAAATGTACAGTTTTTTTTTTAAAAACTATTGAAACCTCTGAACTGATTACCTGATTACCTAGTTAACTTGTTAGCTAGTAAAGTTAGTTACACCTAATTTTTTTGTTGTTTTTTTTTCTTGTATATAGTCAGAAACTATTGGATCATTTTCAATAAAAGTTAAATCAATAAATTCTTTGAGGATGTTTGTAGCTTATTATCCAACCTCTATAGGTTGCTATAGAGTAATTTATACATGTACTTAGTTTTGGTTGAAAACGTCTCGCGTAATGACTGCTGGGGCAGTCGTAACCAAGGGACCCTCTTTGTGCAATGGCCAGGGTGGGAACTGCTGGATCAGCAGATTCCTGGTGGCACATTCAGTCCCGTAGTCATGTACGCCACTATACATATCTTATTACTAATAACTATATGCTATGATTACATATCATAAAAAAATGTCACATGATTACTATTTTAAAGGAATAGGTTGATTTGTTCAATATGTTTTTTTTTATTACTTTATATAATTAAATTACCTTGTGATATCATAGGCTCAATTGTGAATGTATGTCCAGGTTTCATTACACCAACAGCTTTGTTTTCTATTATATTAAAATTGTTTAATTTATTAAAATATTACATAATTTAGAATTAAAAAAAAATTCACTTTTTATGAAAATATATTTGTAAAACTTACTAGCATAATGTGGAACTCCAGGAGATGTATGAAACAATTGATGAATACCATGACCACAATAGCTTCTTACAACAGAAAATCCGTTGGATTGAGCATGTTTATGTATTATATTACCAAGTTCTCTATACTTTTCACCCGGTTGAACTGTATAATAAGAAATTTTTGTTAATAGATTTAAAATAATTAGTTATCAAATAAAATATTTATTTTACCTGCATTTATTGCCTTTTCTAAGCACTCCCAAGTAACATTAACTAATTTTTCAGCAGTTTTAGAAACATTTCCTATAAAAAATGTTTCATTCAAGTCACCATGATATCCTCGATGGCATACAGTTACATCAACTATAAAATTTAATACATATTATTAGAGCAAATTTGATTTTTAAAATTATTTCTCAAACCATTGCAAATATCTCCATTAATTAAAGCTCTCATATCAGGTATTCCATGACATATAACTTCATTTATAGATGTACAACATGATTTTGGGTATTTGTAATAATTTAATGGTGAAGGATAGCATTCTCTTTCAATGCATGCTTCATGCACAACTCTATCAATTTCATCTGTTGTTACTCCAACATCAATCATTAATGCCACTTCATCTAATACTTCTCGGCCAAGCTTAAAAATAAAATTAACAATGGGATACCTTTATCACATTAACTGGATTTATTTATACTACTTAATTTTAATTTAATAACATATAAGGTATTAAAATGATTTTTTTTTTTTTTATTTAGAATTTTAAGTATCTAAATACCTTGCAAGCAATTTTCATTTGTTCTTGTTCTTCATCATTTAATACTTTAATATGCGATGATAATTTTACTGATTGTTCACTCAAAGGTGTGCCATCTGGATGATCAGCATAATCTGGTCTTTGTATATGTCCAGGTACAGTACGTGCAGGAGATGTTCTATGAGGTCTTAATGGACCTAAAAATGCAAATAATTTTCTTATTGTATGAGTGATGATTATGTATTTAAATGAAATATTTCCTTTATTAATAGCTAATACATAGATCATAATAAACAAGTTAAAAAATATTAAATTAATGCTTAATTTAAAATATTTTTTATTTTCTATCTTTTTCTTTTGATTGTTTATATTTTCAATGTGGTGTACTTATTATGATTGTAGATTATAAGCAAAGCGATGAGCTTGTTGATTTTACAATGTTTTTTTAATTTTTATATGTGCATGTACACAATAAGTAATCAATAAAATGCTTTGATTTTTAACTTTGAGGGTAGTTTTAAATAAAAAATCGGATCTAGTTTGTACTTAAGAGAAATCAAAAGTAAAAATGTTTAGTACTACCAAATATTTATATTATACAATAAATTTTTTTATTTGTTTTTCCCGATAATAAAAAAAAAAAAACCTCTTCAAAATTCAAACAAGATATAAATTGTTATCAACAATCACCCCTAAAGTTAAAAATTAAAGTATTTTATTTTCAACTTAAAAAAAAAAACACGTTATTGTAAAACCATTACATTTATTGCTCTGCTCTAATCTAAAAACCTATATAATTAAATATATGATAATTGTAATATTTATTTTACCTGTAAATACATAATCTGGCCATGGATTAAATGGTTCAATAATACCATTTGAATTTTCTGTAATGAAATTTAAAAATTAATATTAATTAGGTAACACAAATACATATTTTTAAATCATAAAATTAATTTTTTTCTCGAATAATTAGTTGTTTCACTGATTCATTGTGGGACAATCAACAGATACTTTTATTTGACATTAACCAACCTTTTTTTGATTGATCAATATCAAACCAGTGTAATTCCAACAATAAACATATTAAATTTTTAGATGTGGAGAAAATTTTTTTAGTTTCATCACTTAATAAAATAAATTATTTTAAATATTATAATTAAAATAATATATTGTTGATTTGCAGCAGGATTTTTTATTGACAAACTGTTTAATGTAAATATTTAATAATAAAAATACAAATAATTAAATCTTAACCTTTAAATAATTTAACATAAACATTAGTTTTATAAGAATAAGTAAATTACTTACGGCCAACTTTATGAAGAGCTTTATGTGTAGACCAGTTTCCTTTAAAACATTCCTAAAACATAAACAGAATATATAAATATTTTAATTTAACATAAATTTTTGGTACTTAGACAATAATAAAATTGTTTACTATTATCTAACACAAGTTATGAGTTTATTTTTTCAGTTAGTTTCAAAATTGTGATTAATAGGTTTATTATAAAATTTTAAATACAGCAATTAATGTATTACACATTTAAATTATCAATACTATCTAAATTTTTGGGGACTTTAGCTTAAATTTAAAAAATATATTATTTAAAAATGTATCACTTATATTATATAAGTACCTATTTATTTAAACACTAGATTGGGTAAAAATTACATAAGCAAAGACTTCATTAAAAAAAAAAACAAATTTAAAAGATTTTAGGTATTGTTTTTAAAATTCATTAGTCTCTATTATTAGCATTGTTAATATTAAACAGGTATTAATTAAAAATCTATTTTATATTTTGCACAATATAAACATACCTACATATTATGCTTAGGTAATTTTTACTAGATAGTTAAAAAAGGTTAAATTTGCCATAGAGTTATTTCTATAAAGTATGTTTAGCATGACAACAAAAATTTACTATTAAACTACAACTTACTATCTGTAATTTAAAATTTATTTACTGATTGTACAAAAAAAAATAAATATTGATTTAAAAAAATCTTCCAATATATTATATAATAAGCAGTACTTGAATTGAAAAAAAAGTCAAAATGCATAAAAATTATAGTCAATTTGCAAGACACCCATTGCCTTTTCATTTGTTGTAGGTACATAACAAATAACAAGTATTATATCTGTGAGGAACATCATACCCGAATCGCTTAGCTGAAATAAAATTTTTATAAGTAAAACAGAATTAAAGAATATGTATGCAAATTTGTCGTAGCAGACTGTCATGCAAATCGTTGCACTTGCTCGAAAAATTAATTTTTGATTATGACAAGATTTCTCTGAATGGTTAGAACTATTGAAGTAAAATGGAAAATAAAACAAATTGTGCATGAGTCTCTTAAATAGTTCTACTTCTATATATTAAAACTTTGATTATAGCCGTTCAGTAACTTGCTGACGACATACACAACAGTTAGAATAGTAACACATAATGGAAAAATATCCCAAAACATAAAAAAATGATCAATAACAAGATTACCTGAGAGCAAAAATAGGAACCGGGGATGTCAAGTTTAATGCAAGTGGGACATTGAAGATTAGCTTGCGAACCGCATCCGGCCGTTTCGCACGTTCTGTTTGCCAATGACGCGGACATTATAAATGGTCAATTAAATTAAGTTGTTGACAAAAATTCTGCACTCAAACGTAATCAAAATGTTTAATACTTTTACAACTTAAAATTATGTTTCGAACTTTCAAAGAGAAAAATAATTTTAATTACCACATGAATTGGTTAGTACATTCACCGACCGTCAGCCGCCGAAACAAGATCGCATTTTGATTGCGGCAACGTGAAATCTGATATTGTTATCAGTGGCTGATTAATCAGCTGTACTGTCCGTTATCAATCCACTCTGATAATTTTATTATTATTATGATTATGATTTATTAACAACAATATTAATATTATTAACTATTAAGGGCATTAAGGCGTTCGTGACTGCGAGAAAGTATACCAGCACAGGCTCCAGTTGATTATTGACTTTCGTGACGATCTGTGCTGTTTTAACATACACCATGAATATTATTCCAAGGTTTGGAAAAAATGTTAAATTTGGATTATTCAACTTGACTAAAAAGTATACTACCCCAAGTTCTACTCCATCGAATCCCCCGCCTACAAATCCAAATGTAACACCTTCATTCAATTCAAGTAAATTTACTTCAAAATATTTATTATTTAGTTAATTTATATTATAAATTATAATTGTATATTGTTTTGGCTCGTTTCCAGACCTTATATTAAATATATTATTATATGGTGGCATAGAATAAGAAATTAAATATAAAACTATTCTTTTTCTTAAATGTCTTAAAATAAAGGACATTAAATAAAATAAATATAAACAATCAAATAAATTAATTAAAATAATTATTATTGGCATATATATAATATATACCTAGAGTGGTAGAGTTTAATTGCTGAGGTTGCTTTTAAAATATAATATAAAATACTTTATAACTAAAAAAATCGTTTACAACAAATTTTTACCAACACAATTATTTTAAGTTTTTCACAGATCACAATTATACACAATTTATTTAAATAAATTAGTTTAGTGATAAATGATAGTTGATGATGATGATAATAATAATAATAATAGTTAAAATAATTCAATAGTTTTATTGAGTACTGAAGTAGGGCAATAAGTTAAATAATGCATTACTTATCATTTGTAAATCAAATAGGTGTATTTCATCAATAGTATTGATATTTTTCTACAAAAACAAATTATATTTATTTTATCTTTTATTTTTTATAAATTGGTTTTACAGAAGTATACAATTATAAAATATAAAATTGAAAAAAAAATTTAATTTATTAAATAAGTCATAAATTCTTTTATTGGTTAGAAAAAATTAATTATTTGTCCACTATTTAAGTGTTACATGAATATTATATTCACCTATTATATTGTTATTACTAGTATGATTTAGTAATAGTCATTAATGTTAATTACATTCAGAATTCACATTTTATTTAATCTGTACTATTAAAATTGAAATATTGTTATCATGTAAATACAACCATTATAAAACTAATAATTTGTTTTAAAATAAGTAATATAAAGATACAAGTAGGTAATCAATAATACAAAATAAAGTCAACTCTCAATAACTCAAAGTTCAATAGTCTCAAATTAAAATTATACAGAATTTTAACTTAACAAAAAAAAATATGTATTGGTTAGTTTTATGAGATGTTTTTTCATATTATCATCAAGAATCAACTGTAATTTGACTGCATTACTAATTTAATGGCTATATGTTAGAATAAAAATCATAAAATATTTCAAATATTATTTAGAATACATTTTATTTTGAATATTTTTTTAGATATCAAGTATCCACTAACAAATACAAGAAAAATCTTGTGTGTCTGGGCTAAACGATATCCATCACTGAAAGACGTTCCAGATCATGTCACGTATGCATTATTTTAATTAATTTTAATGTTTAATATTTTTTTTTAACTTTCACTCACATTTATAAAGATACAAATGCAGACCACCTATACTATAATATACCTTGTAGTTATTTCATTTGGGTCTAGACTTCTCTATTTTGTTTTCTTTTTATATAGTGGTATTAATATTGACTTCCTATTAATCTTAGGTACTTATGCTATGTAAGTATTAAATTTCATTTTCATGTTACGTAATTTTAACTTCAAACATTTATAAAAATAATTGAATATATTTTCTATGGTTTTTAATTGCTACAAATACAATTTATGAAGAATGTTGTAATAAATTTCCATTATTTTTTAATGTATAAACATTAAATTATGTATTGTATAAGTTTAAAATAAAAAATAAGTAAACATTTAAAATTTCTATTTATAGCACAAAAAGATAAAAATCTTATAAAAATTATATCATGTCCAGAAAAAGTTAGGATAAAATATTTTGTAAAAATTTCAAGTCTTAATGGTTATGATTTTGCTAAAACCTTGTTTTATATAAATATTTTTAATTTTTTACAATTATTATTAAAATTATTTTGAAATTTGCTTGTGGTTTTTAATTATTGCTCTCCTTCTATTAAACACAATTTTTTTTTATCTAATTTGTTATTAGAAACCAAAATACATTTTGAAAATAAAGCATTTTTTCTTCTATAAACGTGTTTTTACAAAGAAAACATATACATTCATTCTTCTGCTCAGAATCTAAAATATTCGAGTATAAAATATATTACTTTAAACTTAATTAAGTAAATTGTCTACTTTAACTACAATATTTAACTAATGAAATTATATCTTATTTTGTACAGACCTGAGGTTTGGAACAAAGTGCGTTCTATTATTCGAATCAAAGTGGCTAACTATACAATGTTCTTTATAATATTGGGTTGTATTGTAATGATTGTTACGGGTAAAAGAGCTCGTGACCGTGGTGAAACAATAATGCAAAGAAACTTGGATTGGCATCAAAAGTACTCTGAAGGAAAAGAAGATGAAATAAAAAATATTGGTGTGTTTGGAAAATAAGTAGTTTTTTGAAATATTAATATTATATATTTGTACTATTTGAATATAATTGTATTAATATTTTAATTGTTACTCAATGTTTTATCTCTGTTAGCAGTTAAATATAAGTCTATTTTATAGAAAAATGAATAGTTATTAGTGTTTTTTTTTTTTTTATGTGTTTATCAAATTAATAAAATCATAAATATATTTTTTGATCAAAAATAAAATAATCATTAATAATCAATAATTTACAAAAAAAAAAATTATAATTATTGTACCTACTTGTTCAATGATAAATGCATTAATTACTTATATTTGGGTTCTTATTTATTGAATAATAATAATTAATATCCAAAGTTAAATGTTTTAATACCTATTTGAATTGATAAATATTTTTTTATAACATGTAGTTATTGTTTTATTATTATTTATTACTTATTACCAACTTGATAATATTTTGTTTGTCAATTTTTCTATTAATAGTAATTTTATCAATTTAAAATTATGGCAAATATAATATATACTATTAAATAACTTTTTGGGCTTGTTATAATGTGGTGTACTAAACTACAATACATCAGAACTGACTAATGGCATCTGTTTTAATAAAATTGAGTGTTGATATTGGAAACAATATTGTTAAAATAAAAATGTAAAAAATAAAATAAATATCTATTATAATTTAATTGCAAAGATAAATAAATATATTGACACCATTTTAGAACTTAGCCTCATAATTGATTTTAGATTTAGAATGGAAAAACGATGTATTTTTTGTTAAAAACAAAAAAATAAAAATAAAGGAAAAACAGACATTTTTAAACAAAATCAATTTTTGATTAAACTGCTTCCTTAATTTTGTTATAATTAAAAAATAAATAACTGTAAATACTTAAAATTTTCATCAAGTGTTTAATGTTTATATTATATTAAATAAAAGAATTTATAAGTATTTGAAGACTCCAGCAAATCTCGTCAAAGTCAACAAATTATTTTGTAATTATAAGTTCATTAAATGTTTAATATTCATATCTAATATTTGATTAAGTTAGATTACCTAATTAAAAATAATTAATCATACAATTTTTATTAAATGTTTATTTGATCGTTTTTGAGCTATTTAAAGACAATTGAAATTTTTCACTTTTTTAGTTTTTTTTTAAAAATGTTACTAAAATTTTTTGCTTGATCAAAATACTTATAAATTATAAATTAAATACAAAGTTCCTCATAAGTAGGGTTCGGAGGTTGATGACCTTAAAACATTAAAAAATGACTTAAAAATTATGAATATTTGTTTTGAAATTAGTAAAAATACATATTTTTTTTTAACAAAAAGAATAGTAATAATAATAAAAATTATTCAAAATTACTACATTGTACTATTAAAACATATTTTATATTGTCAAAAGTAAAAATGACAGCTAGCTGAGCTAGCACCTTATTCTATCAAATCTTTATCTTTATCTAACCCATATAAACTTGTGTAAAATGTTATTTTATAAAATATAAATATGATGTACCTAGGTACTTATTTACAGTCTGTATAAAACAAAAACTATGCGTGTAAAGATGTTAATTGACAAAATATAACTATAAATATAAGAAATTGAACTAAAAAGGAAAATAGAATCTAAAAATGACAAAAAATGACTTAAACAGAAAAAAAAAAAAAAAAAATACAAAAAAAAATTAGTTATTTACATTTACATGTTTATAAAACATATTTGTGGTCAGGAAAGCGTCATCTAATAAGTTCCAAAAAAAATGCTAAATGCCTCAACTTTCGAGCCCTACTCATAAGTTATTCGTGTACCTACTAATCAAAATTTTTAAAGATACATAGGTAGCATGATTTTGTTTTTATAGTCATTTAAAATTCAAATTTTGATAAAATTGGATATTTAAACGAAGATAAACAATTTTGGTTATTATATTGTAATTTAAAAATATTTATTACATGAAACTTTTATCGTATTTTATATTACACACAATTACATTTTAAGATGTAATGTTTTCGGAAAATATTAATTCATCTACTGTATAAATATTAGTAGGTAATATAAGTTACTTTACCTAACAGTGATATTAATTATGTAAAAATATGAGCTTTTTTAGTTTTACTTTTTATTTTACCGTTTTATACCTTATATAATACTGCAAGTATTAAAGTACTTACGAACTCACGGTATTAAATAGTATTGTAGTTATTGTACAATGTATTACACACAGTTTATACAAATCGAAATTCTTTATTAAAAAAAATGCAAATTTGAAATAATATACAAAACTTAAACTTGATAATTCAACCATTTTCTGTTTGAAAATAAAATATTATTAATAAAAATTTTAATTAAAAGTAATAACCAACGACTAATAAATTATGAAGTGTTAAATGTATTCTCTTTTTACTATAGTTAACAGTGAAGTAAAAAAAAAAAAAAAAAAATATTAAAAAAAATAACCAACCTCAGGTTTAATCTTGGTCTGTCCTCAGGACAGCCTGGTTCGTCGCAAGCCCAACTGCCCGCACTGACCATTTTGTAGACTTAATAATTACAATTTTTTTTTATGGGGGGGGGAGGCCCGCTCATTACACATAGGTCCTTATATTATGATTCAAGAGATATTTAATAGAAGTAATTAATAAAAATTATAATAAATATAGGACAATATATTTTTTGCTTTTTCACTTTTGGCTTTGATAGTTACAGTTTTGGTCATAAATGTTAATTATTTACAATTTAACACCATTGTAAAAATGATGGCTATTATAACAGGCTGTTATTAACAGCATACGAATTCACATTACTGAGTAATACTAATATATAATAAAAATCTATAAGATGTTGTATTTATTATTATGGGCTGACTGTATTCGTTTAGAATAATTGCAAGAATAATATGCAATGATGTATCATTTATTTTAAATTAATCTACAGTGACTTATTCCTTAATGCTAATGTATATTTAGTAATTACGTAAGTATTGTGCATCAGATCGGTTACCTGCTTTTCTCTTTTTTATTATTAAATTAGTTTGTTCGGATTAGTTATTAAGAAGAATTATTATACTTATACATAGAGCTGAGATTTTAATATCTTAAAAAATTATAATAAATGCAAAAATGAATTAAAAATGCATTATAAAAATGTATTAAACATTTATTTTTCTATGCTAAAAAGTAAAAAAAAAAAAAAAAATTATAAATGCAACAACAAACAAAAGAATACATGCAACTGCAAAGGTGTATACGAAGTTGTGTGTGTGTGTGCATGTATTTATTTGACCCGCTCATTGGTCGCGTAGGCAAGAAAGTGAAGATAAATTAAAATAGAAATTTTGTTATCGGTTTATAGTTTCTTTTGGTATTAGTTGAAGAAAATAAAAATGTTGTAAAAATACTATGTAATTTAAAAAGGGCCTTAAAAGAATATCTATAAATAGTTATTTATTAAGTTATTTTTAAGTTAAATTTATTAAAAAATGCAAAATAAAAATTATATTAAGATAATCAATATTACCTAGAACATATTTTGCATGTAATATACAGGGCTATGTTTAAAAAAGAAAAGTAAAAAAGAAAAAAATTATATTCCATCAAAATATTAGTCCTATTCATGAACAGGTAGATAAATGATGTTTGAATGTTTGGTAATTCAGTGGGTAGTTAATTAACTCAAGCTAACAAGGCTTGTAGGATGACGAAACAGTTGTGAAGGATTAGACAAAAGAAGTAAGATAAATTTATATTATTTAGTTTACTTTTTATTTTATTTATAATTTATATAATAATACATCATTTTTTTAAATTTATCTTATTTTAAACACGATCAAGATATTTTCAAATGATGCAGCGATTATGAAATTAAATTAAATTAAACATTCAACATGGACGTTTTATGCTACTATTCTCAATTTTTATTTCAGAAATATTATACTTAAAAAATATCTACGTAAATTATTAAATAACAAAATTCAAATTATTTTCTTATAATAGAACCTAGTAAAATAAGATAATAAGATATATCTAATATTGTGTATTGCGGTGTTTAAAAAATGTCTTATTATTTGTATTGAGTGTTTGTTGTTATAAAGTAGATACTGTCGTAAATCGTGTAATATAATTTATTTACGTGTGCTAGTAAGATTAGACGGATAAAGCGATTGAGGGGCATAAGATAATTTTATTTTCTATTTCTATGATCTATTCGCCTTTTAAAGCCTGCAGTTTATGTGGTCTTGTAAATGTAGCGTATCGACGTTTGTGTAAAGTATAAACAATAAATCCGTATTGGGGAGTAGAAAAGAGATAAAAATAAAGAAGCCCAAACGAATAAATATACTGCGTGTGTAATAAAAATCTGATAAAATCGTTGGAGAAAAATAACCATACTGATGAAAACGCACTCTGGTCAATATCCGAATCAAATCGTTTACTCTCTTGTCTGTATCTCTTATCTGTACATGGTTATATATATATATTATACCTATGGTATTCCTTTATATTCAAATCTGTTTCTAGGTACTTAATTCATACAAATAATATCATTAAAAAATATTAAATAAGTACCTATTGTTTGCAATATTTAATGCTTTTCATATTTAAAGCTTTAGCCTTAGTGCTGTTTCAGTCTTTATTGTCGTACCTACATATAATTGTAGAGGCGAAGTGTCAAAGTCTATAATTTGTACTGTTATATTTATTACTATTAAGGGTATAAATTGGAAAGTGGTCGTATGCATGCATAAACATTTTCATAACACCTATAATTTATTTAACACCTGTCAAACAAATATACAGATATTAGCTAGTAATAACCGATATTCAAGTTAGTACTTACCTTTTATATTTCGTCTCAAATTAGAGTAACTTCATATGGTGACCGATTTTCGACTGATTCTGTCATTATAATAATATACTATTCAGTTAAATCGATTTACGTCGACTTTTGTTGTCAGTTTTTGTTTATGACGACGGGTCGTGGCCAAAAAATGATGAGGGTTGTTAATAGACATGAGACTTGAGACTTCTATTCTTTCAAATTTAAAAAGTGCAACCACAAAAACGTAAAGCCTTTTTTTCAATATTTGTATCATTTTGTAGTACCTACATATTATTGATAAATTGTACTTATATTGTATTTAGAGTAATAATATAATATGTTCTCATATTTTCAGTTTATCAAGTAAGGGTAGTGTAACCACTGGGTGACTCCTCTCATCACGTTTTCATGTAAATACTCTTAATATCACATATTCTTATTGTCCCTAAAGGAACAGATTGTATAAACCTTATAAAAATAAAAAAAATAAAAATATTTTCAGCTATATATATATATATTGGTAAATGATCAAATATGTTACAGCAATAATTCACCAGTTTATCAATACTAAATATCGTGAGGGATATTATAAATTATTTTTAAAAAAAGAACGAGTTTAAAATAAAAATAATTTACGTACAACAATGATATTAGAATGTTAAATAAGTAATTATATCTTTTACCATAGATATTTACATGAGTATCCTGATATACATATAATGTATGAATGTTCTCAATATTTAGTGAAAATAATGCGAAAGTGTGGTTGATTTGTAGATATATTTACAATTTTTAAACGTAATCGAACAAAAAATATTTTTTCTATCGTTCCATGACAAATTAAAAACAAACATAGTTCTATAACATTAAAAAAAAAAAAAAAATAAATAAATAAAACCAAGCGGACTTGTATTACAATTAGTACCTATCTTGTCTGTTATATGCAAAACACGGGTATCTAATATTTATTATGTATTTAAAATAATATTTGGGTAAGTACACAATTTAAGATACAGGTCATAAAAGTGTAAGTAGTCCATATTTTATTTAATTATATTAGCTATGTTATGGGTAGGAGATATATCAATATAATATTATGCTGCTGAATTCTGTCCATCGTTTATAATACATATATCTCTGTTGTTATTGACTATTTTCTCAAAAACCTATGTCGTGTTTTATATACTTACTTATACACACCAGGTGTCCTTAATAGCCATTTTGACAAAACGCGTTTATTCGATCGATGGCTTTGTTGTAGTGCAGCCCGTTGTCACATTTACATGCAAATTCAAAATCCAATTTCAAACAGAAGAAATTGAAATGCTTTCGATCTTAAAAAAGGTTAATGCCTGTGCTTTTTTTATTTTCTGCGTGTTGCTAAATATGCAATAGGTAATGTTATCATATTTCTCCTACACGTATATAGATAGGTACATACTCGTATTATACCTAAACAAAGTAGATGCGTTGTACTGCATATTTTCATTTTAATATTTATCTAGGTAACTGGTAAAAAATACTATGTTTTTCTGGTTTTTTTCAATAAAAAACATTAAATATGAAGTCATAGGTATCTGTTATATCTAATAATATTATATATGAGGTAATTTACCAGGCATGCTCACCTCCATTTTTTCCTTTAACAACGAATTTATTTGTTTTCTAACTTTGAAGTTTATATATATATATTAAACACAATATTCTTAAGTTCTTGATATTTTTTTTATCTACTATATTTAGGGAGTGTACTGTGGCAATACAAACTTCTTTTATTCTAATTAGAATTCCCACTTTTTCATTGTAAATAATATATTGAATATATTTTTGAAATTTTTTATGTACCTACCTAATTTAAAAAACGAGTATTTTTAAATTATTTAAACATTTACACTTAGGTTGGTTTTATAAAAATATAATATAAATGTAGTATTATAGTATTGAATCTCATATTTATTGTATTTGGACCATTTAAAAAAATGATAAATGTTGATAGATTTGTATTAATTATTAATATTTTCAAACTACCATAGCTCCTATAACATTGTTTTAAATATATTATTCTTTTCACAAAAAGTTAAATAACTCGAAAATTATTGTTAAAATTTTAATTTTAATGCTTCGTAATTTTCAGAAATATTATCCACCAAATATTAAATAATTTACTGTTCTCATTTGAAAAATATAAGATTTTATCTCCACAGAATATAGTCTCCTTAGTAGTACATACAATCTGTAGAATTTAAAGTATAATAATTTTTAAGTAAATTTAAAAATTTAAAAAATCAGTTTTTGCTCAATAGTTAATTGTATTATTGAAGAAAAAAAAGGATCGAATCACTCTGTACATCTATTGTATTTAGTTAAAATAGGTTATGTAGGTTCGGGGCTTGATACGGACGAGGCACTCAAACAGAAACGGCAATCTGTTAACAGGCAAACCATACGCACAAAAGGGGGTCGTCGCAGTACATGTAAGTGGTTTCTCGGCGACCTGCTTGCGGAACACGACAGTTGCGAGAGCTGGAACGCCGGGTTCAAACTTCGTACCACGGAACCCAGAGTAAGCCCCGCCAGGCCTGCTTGCTAATAGCACCCTGGCACTCCGGGGGGCGACGGTCAAACCACGTGCGACCGCGGGTGTTCACCGAGTGCCCGCGCTCGTCCGTGGCGGGACCGCCGCTTTCGAGGAAGGACTCGTAGTGGTTGTGGAAGTACCGCCTTAGCAGAAGGGATTTGGACGGTGTTTGTCGGGCTCTGGTCGCAGAGCAGCTCATTATGACGTCTGAGGTAAGGTAGCGTTCTAGGTGGGCTTTCAGGGTGCCTGGCACCTATATAATTTCTATATAATTTTTTTTTATATATATAAACGTATAAATAGTTATTTGATACTTGTACGTGCTATTATTGATACCTAATACCTATAGCTATTTATATTTTTGTAATATTAATTTATATACTGAGGTCCTAGGTATTTATTTTAATAATTTATTAGTACAAGGTTTTTAATAAATGTACCTATTATTTACGAAAAACAGAAACGAATACATTGCAGACGATTAGGTAGATGAAAGTAAATTGAATAATGAAAATTGAAAATAGCCGAAGCATTGCCCCTGTGACAAATTTATAGGCTATTAGACAAAGAAAGAATATAATAAATAAACATATTTTTTCAGCTTCACTTATTTCACCAAGACATTCCATTCATTATTTTTTGTACGTTTTTATTATTAATATTTTAATGGTTTGATTTTTTTCTTTCTATTATTATAGTACGGATTATTGGGTAAGTGTAGGTGTTGTAATATTTTTAAACTTTTAGTTTATATAGTTTATACTTTTCTGAGATTTTTTTTATTAATTTGTAAGCTTAATGTAGCATGTGTATACAAATATACGTCGATATTTCTTATGTACCTATGTTAACTTATTCGGACACATGGGACGTAATCTTAGTTTTACACCAATGTACAAACAATTTAAATATATCCTATAAATGTTATCCTGCTAATCAACTGTATACAAAATCACGCAAAATTATTAGTACGAATCCTTGTTATCTTATATATTAGCTATATTTTCAATTTTCTTTGTAGATTTCATAATTTCTTCTGAAAATTTGTATCAATCCGGTATTCATGTAGGTATAGGCGTGCATCCTATGGCATCAGCTAATAATTTCCAAGGATAATTATTTGGGTAAGTAGGTATTACAATATTATTATTTACTCATTTGTTTTTATTTTATTCAACCAAAATATATATTGAATTTTCCCACTTGTATATTTCTAAAGCTTAAATATGTTTATACATTTACAAAATATACATAACTTTATTTAAGTGTTATCCCAAAAGCCCATAGAATCTTGTTTATTATTGTAACAATAATACGGCATATTGCTAATATATTACTAATTTATTTTATGAATAACAGTCTCCAAGGTTTTAATGCTAAAATAAAATGGTTGCTTGTTTTTGAATTTTCGAGTGATTTTTGACCAGATGATTATTGACAAGAAAATTATTCATAAGTGTTATAGAATAAATAACAACAATAATTATTATACCAAATATTTTTTTTTATTTTATTTTTTTTTTTTTTTTTATCAGCTTAACAATAATAATTACACATAATCAACAAATTAATAGAACACAATAACTTTAAAAAAAAATCTAGTGCTTGCACGGGTCATTAGGTAAACATCATTAAAATATATAATATATTTTTAATTATTATTTATCTTATACATTATAAGACTATATCAACTTTCTATTTATTATTTTATATTTTATAGTATTATTTGAATAATTTATTGTAACGTAGCCGGTCAGTTCAGTTTCCAGGTATGAATATTATAATTACAGAAGTTTGGTGTTGGCGATAAATAACATGATGAACATAATCAACGCCCAATTCTGCAATCTTGGAGCTTTACCTAGAAGTTAGAAACATTTTTTTGATAAGAACAAATGGTTAATATTTATAATGATTAGTGGTAAAACATATTTAATTGTATTTGTCTACCACTCATGTACTTGTAACAAGACATGCAAAAGAAAATAAACATTTACAAAGCCCGATAATAATAAAGATTGGATATCGTCATATCGAGAATAGCAGATATTCTTACATTTTAGTGTTAATTAGCTACATACATTATTATTATAGTAGTAATACTTCTAGACACAAGAGAAAAAATAATACTTTCTAATTGTTTTATTATTCTATTTTCATTATTGTAGTAGTACTGTAGCTATTAATAAAACATTTTATATAATATGTTCTAGATATTTTATAACATAATAATATATATATTACACAAGATATATGGTGTAAAATTTTCATAAATGAACTATGAATAATGTTTAAAAGTAGATAACGAAGAGCTTTTTAATGATGATAGCCTTTCAATTTTATTTTAAGCTTTAAAAATGTTTGACTTTCATAACATTTGTCTATAATTTTACTATCAATATGTTTAAACGTGTTATTACTGATTGTCGATGTGTAGGTACTATACAGTATAGAAGGTATATTATCAACCCAATAATTACTGACGGTATCAAATAAAATGAATAATATAATATATTACAATATTTTTGTGTACATTTTGTTTTAAAATAAGTTATTGTTAAAAATAAAAATTATAGTTCAATAATAATATACTCATTACGAAATCCGTTTGGTTATAAACTACAGCTAGTTTTTTACCTATACTTATCAATATTAGGTATCTACTATTTTTTTGCACACGTTTTGATCAAAATCGAACCTATTAGATAGATTGTTAAGTAGGTAATAGTTTTTATAATTTTTAGTTATTTATCTTATTTTACCTGTAGAATGTGGTGACAGACTCGGAGCGATGACTTGTGCTGATTTTGGTGGTGCGTTGTCAACTAGTTCTATTTCAGACGATGCTTTGTACAAGTCGAATTGAGAAATTGTACACATTACTTTAATACGACCAGTCGGAAATAACAATGTACTAGCTCTTGTCATTAGATAGGATCTCATTATTACTAGTTCGGAAACCTTATGTTCAAATGCGGTTTTGATACGCACCGATTTCATAGTTTCAGCCTATATTGAGTAAAAACAATAGTAGTAAAAAAAATGATTACAATATGTTTCATAAACATCATACATATGTGTATAAATTATATTTATATTTTTTTTAATTGCCATCAAGTACTATCTCAGTTGATAAGGTAGTTGATAGTGTTAATATTCACTTTAACAATAAGTTTAAAATAGTATATGTGTAACACGTGTATTTCGCCCTAGACTTACCGTATACAGGGCCACACAACATAAGTGCTATATTTTGTGATGCCTCTGTCACTTATCGATATTATCACAGTAATGGTATTTATAATTTATGGATTATTAGAATCACAGTATATACTATAGTCTGATTAGTACCTAAAGATTTATACATACTGTTACATAGTTTAAACTTAATTTTTGCATACCTATTATATTTTTAAATTGCTTATTATAAATTGTAATGTATTTATTTTTATAACAGAAAATTATGTTTAAAATTATCTATTTAACTCCGATATTTTTAATATTATATTTTTATGGAATATTGACCTGTTGGATAATATTGAATTTGAACATAATAATATTATTTTGGGCCTCACGTAGGTTTTTTCGATATTTTAGTTTTAAAATAAGTTATGAGTATTTTAAATTTTGCAATCAATTTACAATTTCAAGATGATCATAATTAGGTTCTTTTAAAATTAAAATATTTAAAAAGTTTACGTTAGGGCTTAAATAATATTTTCTATTAAAATTTGATCATAGGTCAAATTATTCTAATATTAAAAACAATAGAGTTAAATCAATTTTTGAATATGATATTTCCTATTTTATATGTTTGTTAGACAGTGACGTTACATGTGATTACAACGTTATCTTAAAATGTGGATAACTGTATCCAATCATTCGAATTATTTTAAGTTATTAGTACGCATAGTAATTTATGTACAATTGTATTGTTAATAATGCAATTAGAAACAGTCTAGTTATACAAAAATGAACTATAAAAACTTAAACATTTTTAAAAAGCTACAAGGTTATTAAAGGGGGTAACTGACTGTTAAATTTGCATTGATTACGTCTCTGACTGTTACTTTATTAACTGTTCTTGTCATTTTAAGTGTCTCAAGTGTCTAGATTTGCCGAACTCTTTTATAGAACAGCATGAGAGTTACCAAACTATCAGCTATTTTATGATTAATTAGACAAAACCAATAGTGGCGTGAAAGTATTTTTATAAAGCTTCCAGTTGATGGTGAAGAGGAGGTACTATAATAGTACGGTAGTAGGTAGGTAGTGGAAAAATGAAAAGTCTCATGAAAAATATATGTTTATACCACTACTCGTATATCAAAAAGTATTTACTGTCCGGTGGACGAAAAATGTAATTTTTTTAACGTTAAAACCGATACAGAAAATTATAGTTTCAGCGTAACTGTGAAAAGAACCCTATTAAAAACTTTATACTAATTAAGTAAAAATTGTTGTTATCTGTTATAAATTTAATTTTGAATAACCAAAATTGAAGTATATTTTTGATTCAAATCACGAATATTTACATTTTGTCACCTTACACTAGGTACGTAAAATTATAAAACTAAGCAATAAGTTAAAAAATAAATATTATTATTATTATTATGAGTTATAAATAATAATTAACAACTAATAAGTAATAATGGGTATCTGTTTCAGATTAAATAATTTAAAAATGCAATCATTCACAAAATTAACATAGGTATTAGTGTTATCCTAGTATTATAATTAAATGTGGGTAATTAAATAAAAAAATTAACTTAAGTTAATTAAGTTAATGCTAAGACTTAAGAATTTAGAGTGTATATACAATTTTAAAGTTTTTATGAAAATGAAAATAAATTAACTTTATTCAGTTAAAAAGAATTTTTTTTTTAAATTACTATTTGAGTTACATATTATGTAGTGATTATGCAACTTTCATTTGTTTTTTTTTTTCAAATGATAAGTTTAGTTTTATTAAGAATATATCCTATATTATTTTTATTGATTTAAAACTATACTAACTACAGTTGTAGTTATTAGTTAGTAGTTAGTCAGGTAGGTAGGTATAGGTATATAAAAATAATTTTATTTAAGCATTATTTTTTAAATAAACTGAAAATATCTAAGGTATTATAAAGGATGTTTTAACTAGATAATTTGGTTACTAAGTTAATTATAAAAATAACTATTAAATTAAAAAATTAAATTTTCAACTAATTAAAATTCACCTTTAGTTGTAGTTTAGTTTATATAATGCATGTATGCGTATTGAGAATTTTAAAATTTAAACGTTTTATAACATAGTCATATAGGTAGTAAAAACAAGTTTAAGAGAGCCCATATTTTTTTTATAAGTTTAATTTATAGAATGCTCTTAATGTTTTTACAATAAATTACTTTTTTTTTACGAGGGGAAAAAATAAGCTAAATAGGTACTTATAGTTGTAGAAATAAAACCCTATCTATTATATCACGTAATAATTATTCTAGGTATATGATTGAAATGTATTATAAAATACATTTTTAACTTTGCTAAAAATTAAATTGATTTAATAAATTATGAAGTATATTTTGTTATTATAAATTTATACTAATGTCTGATAGTAGCAACGACGTAATATTATTATTTACAATAATTTCTCAAGTACCGGGATTTTATGAGTTATACTCTATAGGTTAGATATACTTTATAATCTGATTTATAAAATATCGGAAAAAATAGATCAAATGTGAGTATTGACTATGATTGTACAAAAGGTGATAAATTTAGTGAACCGAAAGCGTACCTTGGGTAAATATAATAATTGAGTCTTTATAGGGTATTTACGTTTAATTATATAAAAGTTTTCATTTTAAAATTTAAATAAGTGTCTATCTATTAAGTAATTTCATTTTTATTTAACCACTTTGTTAAATTTATTTATGTAAAAGAATAAGAATAATATTCTTAATAATGAGTAAATACAATTATGTATCTTTTTAATTAAAAAGAATATATCTATAGTATTTATAAGAAGGAAAATAATGTTTATGATAACAAACCTTATTGAAAATATAGTAAAAACCGTATTGCTTTGAATAACTCAAAAGAAGACTAATATAAGACTATAAGTCAAAGCGTATATCAAATAAAATCAAGAAATAGGTAATTAAGGTATATTTTTTTAAATAGTTTACACAAACAACGATGAAATTTGAAGTCTAAATATTATATTAGTATCAAACACAAGGTAAGAGAAAAAAAATTCAAATGTTATTTATGTTACTTACACAATGCATATTAATAAAGTCATAAATTAATTAATTGTATTTTTTTATTAAAAAAAATATATTTACTTAGTGAGGTTGAGGTAAGAACGCGTCTGTGAACGTGAAAAATAAAATTTTATTTTTTAAACTTAATTTTTCATAATATTTTTGAGTAGTAAAAATACTTAAATTTTAAAATGTTGCAGTGATTTCTGGTAGTAAATTAGATCTAATTGATACTTCAGGAAGTAAAAAAAAAAGTTTATGCAAAATGCTAAATCAGTTTTCATCAAAATTGATGTCTTCGTTTTATTTTAATTCATGAAAGAATAATCGTAGAAACTTAAAATTTTTATTAACTATATAAAAGGTACTAATGATATATATTTACTAATTTATGCGTGGTGTATTTTTATTTTATATTTAATCACTAATAACATTATCACCATATGTTTAAATTATCATTTTTATACCTATATGGTATAACTTTCAAAATATTTTTTTAGCTATTTAATCAATCAATTGATGTTTTTAAATATCAATAAAAAAATTTTCATTCAGTTAAAAAGGTTGAATATTTAATATAAAGTATTTTATAAATTGTCCACATATTAGTAAAAGAATATCAAAGATATACCGGCAAGATTTTTTTTTTTCAAGCACTTGAAGTTAAAAATGTATTATTTGTAAATTATTTTTTAGTAAAGTACATATAGTACATGTTTTGTTGTAATTTAGTAGTAGGTTCTTTATAAGTAATTCATACTGAAATCAAAAATATAAAAAAACTTAAAATCACATTTTTTTATTTTTTTAAATAAAAAATAACGAATTTGTTATTTTACTCCAATTTAAAAATGTTATTGGTAGGGGTCTCAAAGCTTTTGGTTAATTTCTATATTATTATTTACTACACATAATCCTATTTTTCAAAATGTATTTATTTTTTTATATATAGTTTTAAAATTTTTGTGTTTATTATCACCTTTTGAGGGAGTAAAATGATTGAATTTTCAACTTTGAAGGTGGTTTTTGGTAACAAAACGAATTTAGTTAGTATATTTTTATAATTAAAAAACAAAATTCGCGAAAACTTAAAATTTTGATGTATAGCACGAATTTTACTGTATTTGATGAAATTTTCGAAATATGTAGATTATTTACACTTTTTTGCGATAATAATAATAATATTAATATATTAATTATATGTACGTATAAATGCAATGTTTTTGAAAAAACTTTAATCAACTTATCACAGTACTAATTTTTAAATAAATTACTTTGATAGTTATATCAAAATAAAACATATACAATATAATAATAATATAGACTTACAGATTGTCACTGTTCGGATAAGTTTTTCATATAAAATAATACAAAGTATTTAATTTAAATTTCATACATTTAAACAGTAATTTACTTAAGATAGCTACAATACAGAAAAGTAGTGCTTAAACGTTGCTTAAATAATTTCGATTAATTCGTAATATTGCACAATATTTAAAATTTCATTTTAAAATGTTCATAATATTTAAAAATTATGTTTTACAGGAAATTAATGCTGGTGACAGATGAAAGTATTATTAAAAAGCGAGAAGATTGAAGATTTTTTTTTAAATTAATTAATTTTACTAATATCTATTATTTATTTTCTAGCCCCCAGCTAGATACTTTATTTTATAATAATTATTAGTTATTAGTGTTGCAATATATAAATATAACACTAATTTAAAATAGTTTACTCTTTATTTAAGTTTAATTTAAAGATTTATTAAATAATAATTACGACAGATGCCTGTTATTTTGAGATCGTGTATTTAAACGTGTTCTTTTATAAAACAAGTTAACATGAACGTGAACTTTTACATTTTTTACGCATTGGATGTGAACGTGAACGAATTCAATTATCAAGTGAACTTTCCCTTATTGTATTGTGTTTTCTACCTGTATAAAATTACAATAAGCAATACATATTATACGAAAGATATAAATACTGGATTGTTTAACTGAAGGAGATGTCACTATCTCAAAATCGTTAAGGTTATGTAAGTATACATACGGATTGAATGTGTTTAGTTTGCATTGAAAATTTTTTATATTTTCGCATAACAATTTTTAAATATTATATAATTTATATACATGTCCGCAAGCAATATATAGGTACTCATAGAAAAAGTTTGTTAATTTGACGTAAAAAAAAAATTATTGCTAATGAAAAAAAAAAATCCTGCCCAATGAGTGATATTTAATATTAGTATCGACATTATTACTTTATATAGGGACCATATTAAATTAGTTAAAATATTTATGTTTAATGTCGTGAAATTGCCTGTGGATGACTGACGCGAATATCATTTTGAAAAATGTACTTGTATTTTGTGTTTTAGCTTCCCAATAATTCGGAAATAACCCGAATAACTGTCGCCGGATTCGAATTAATGATGCAAACACGATGGTATAGATACGAGAACTCGAACCACAAAATATTAATTCTATTTTGAACGGTTAGGTAACATTTTAATATAACTCTGGGTATTCACAATTTATTGTTTGCGTCACTGTATGTTGCGACAAATACATACATGGTAATTACTATTATGGCGTGTTTGTGGTAACAGGTAAACGTAAAAAAAATAAAATAAAAAGTACAGTATAGGAACATCGTTTTCCGTTTTAAAATTGTTATTGTTAAAACGTAAAATTTCAGTCGGTCGGGCGTGCGAGCGCAATCGTATGCACCGGGTAACAGGAATCAAATAATAATTATTGCTCTAAAACAGACACGCTTTTTAATGCTGCTGAATTTTTTACGTTGTTTACTCAATTATTTGGGAAACGCAGTGGATGATTGAAAAGTATTTATTTTGCTTGCAATTTCTACGGTACAAAACAAGCGCGTAACAGGATAATTATGTTTGTACAAAGCTGAACGTTTAACGCTCATCAGTGGTGAAAATGCACGGAAGGGACAACGTGCGAGAGTTATGAGGTTAAATGGTAACTGTTGAATATTAAAACGTTTAATAATAATTTAAACTTTGGCATTATTTTCGCGTTTTACCTAGAACTCAGGCCAATGGTGACGATTTATTTCTGCAATTTATTTACGCGCGTTATATGCAATTATTGTCATACTAGCACGGGTGCAGTGCGTGTGGTTTGGTTTTCAGCCGTCAATTATTTTTCTGTGTACATGGCAATAAATGTAAAAACGTCCAAAACTACTACGCAGAAAATGTGCGTTCTAAACGACAAATGTTGTGGGCTGAATACGATTTAGAGAAATAAGAGGATTAAAAGGTATATCAATTATCTAAATTCTACATAGTCAGTAGTCACACAAAATATGTCGTGTACATAAAATAAGAAGTCCCTACTGATTAATTTATAATTAACGTATAGTTAAAAATATGATAGCTAGAGACTTGACGTTTTCATTGTATCTTCGTATTACTATGCAAGGGTACACAAAGAAAGGATTTTTGAAAATTTATATTTTTAAGAGGGTTTTATGCATGAATTTGTTGGTTCATGATTAACAAATACATTTTTTCTCATATAAGATTGCCATTGATCACAGAGAACAATATAATGATCATGATTGATTATAATTGTAGACCTATATTTTATATTTAGTCAAAATTTCCATTGATTATTGAGTTTAAAATCTGAATAGTTAAAACAATGGAATTTAAGGTGGGGTAAAACAACGCTCATTATTTAACTTGTCATGGACAACGCTGAACAACATCAGATAGTATTTTATAAAAACGAAAATGCATACATAGGTACCAACTCATCACTCTACCTTTACGATTGTACTTACTCACTAATTTGACATTGTAATATTATAATAATATATCAAATCAGTGGTTTTCAAGGTAATTTAAGTATCTCGATTACTCGATCTATATAATTCTACAGTGTTTTAAGGTTGTTATGTAATTAAGTTTTTTTCTCATATGTATCTCAGACAGTGCTTTATTTTATTGTTTATGAGTTATTACTTAACGAATGGTTTAAAAAATAAATAAATAATTTTATACCTATATAAGAATGATGAATAAAACTGATATTGAAATGGGAAACTGGAAAATATAATTCAACAATGCACTTAAAAATTACAGAGCTTTCTAAATCCAAAATATATTATAAACGAATAAATTTATATTTAATTTAAAATATTCACTTTATAATAAAATTATACTGTATCTTAAAAATAATTAACATTTTTTTTACGGTAAATATACACGCTCGTATATAACCTTGTACAATTTTGGGGTTTAAAATTTGATTTACAGGCGATCACTAATGTTAACTCTGTAATTGTTTGTATAAATTATGTATGTATCTAAATCAGAGCATGTAATTGAAAAAAAAAATTATTATACGTTATTTACAATTAAAAAGTTATACAAATTTTGAGTTTATCTGTGTTCATAATTTAAACGTTATTCAACTTTTGCGTTTATCGTTATTCAGAATTAAAACTTTATTAAACTTTTACGTTTATCGTTGTGTAGAATTAAAATTTTTAGTATATTTTATAATTTATAACTATTAAATAATTGGAAATTAATTATTTCTTTTAATGATATACTGTATATTATAACGTTTTGCGTTATGTTTTGTTTAATGATATATCATATTATATTTTGTTAATCGTTATGTTTTTTTTTGTGTTATTTAATATTATTTATATCTATCGTTTTTTGTTATGGTTACACTTACAAATTTCGATCGTTTTTTGTCAAATATAACGTTATAATCATAAAATTTGCAAGCCTTGATTTAAATAGATAGAAATTGAAACATTTTTATACTTAAAATAAACAGCTGCGCAATTGACTCAAAAGTGATTATGTTGGATATTAATTGTACCATTTAGTTACTATTAATATGATTTGTGTTTTGAATTTTAAATTTGTTTAAGCCTAAGTATTAATGTTTAAAATTTGAAATGAAAAAAATGTTTTTTTTTTTTTCCATTATACTGATTATTTCATTTCTTTCAATATTTTAGCACCTGAGGTTTTTTAAAAAAACTTTAATTTAAAGCATTAATAATGCAAAGAAAATTAATTAAAGTGATAAAAACTTTAGATCGATGAATTTCAATGAGGTATAAAAATATGAATTTTTCTGTTTTGAGTGCAATTTTCCTATCAATGTTTTCATCATAAAATATAATGGAATATATTCCTTTATTACTATAGATTTTATTTAAATTATATATTTAATAGATACATTTATTATTGTTTACTCTTAAATTAAAATACATTTTTTAGTAGATATAAACAAAATTTTATAATTATCCAAATAAAACAAAATACGGTTTTTAAAGTTAGGAATTTTAAAAATTTAACTAAATATAACCTTTTTGATTTCTTGTTTATTCAAAATAATGTTAATTATTTGCAACCGTCAAGTTATTATAAATACATAATATTTACTTAGTCGAAAGTATTTTTCTTTGACGTTGTTTTTAATGAAAATATTAAATATTTATTATATATAGTATATCTATACAAGTATTAAATAAAAATCAGACTATGAGAGTGTACGTTTTTAGTTTATGCCCTGTGGTGATTTTGATAAGTTTTTTTCTGTTTATCTTATAACCAATAACCATTTGTTGTATTAAAATCATTACTTTAATAATATATTACAAAAGTGTTTGTTATTTTAAATATGTTTTATGACAGAAATATTTTAATAAAGTATTTTATTTTGTGATGTTTAATTAAATATTGTTTTGAAACTTATCTAAGTCTTCATAATACATTTGATTAATCTTATTCAATATTTGTTCAATGCATTTTATATTAAGCATAATTGAACCAGAGTTTTATATAAATTATGAATTTTGCAAAAATTTCAATCATTCGAGGGTTATGCTTTGTTATAGTATGCATCTTATTATGGGTTCTTCGTTAAAATCGTGTTTAGCTCTTTAATACTTAATATTAAAAATTTAATTTAAAAAAATAATTAGTTTGGTTTCTACCAAATATTCAAAAAGTTAACTAAATACCTAGTTTAATTAATATCATAGTCAAAATCAGGTATTATTTTTACATAATATATATTTCAAAATAATAATTATCTATTAACAACAATCACAAAATGTAACGTTTTAAATTTTTGAGTGGATTTGTGTTTTAACGACATAAATTAAATTAATAATGGAAAAATACCGTTTGATTATTTAAGAACCAACTAATGTTGACAGCTGGATAGCTTTCGCCTGCAATGCAACTGACGTTAATTAGATCACCCGATGAGTACTTCATTCTGTTCGTCTGCAACGTTGGAGGGGACGATGGTTCATCTGAAACAATATAATGATGGAGTAAATATTAGTTTATACTGTATACTATATACATTAAAACATATACCAACTTACATTTTGCTTAATAAATATATCAATTATTTGTGAATAAATGTATCGCATTCATTAGTTTCAAAATAATATATACGACGATTCACCAAACATTGCCCCCACTCCTCTTTTTCTTTAATAATGCAATTATTTAAAATTCGATTTTTAAGAAGTGTGTTATGGCGATGTAAACTTCTGTTTTCAAATGGAAATGACTAAATGGAAATTCCCATGACTAGTTTGAGTTATTAAATTATATATACTGAGTATAATAGACTGTAAAAATGGTTTTGAAAAAATATAATTTAAACGTAGGATAATAATTAATAAAATATTAATTAATACCGAATAAAATAATAAAATATTGAATTTAATATTTATTATAGGTAATTGTATAATTTCTACAAATGATAAAATATTGATATTATTATTAATATTACTTATTATAGTTTTAAAATTAGTCTCTATAATTTCCTAACCTTTAATTTTTAGTACATGATGTTAAATAGCTTGGAAATCACTCGTTAAAATTTTGGTTTAGATATCTCAGTATTATCAAAAAAAGTTGTGTACTGAATAATTAAAGAAGTTGTATCACTATAGGACACATTAGTTCGTTTAAAAATAATCAAATACCTATTCAAAAATATGGTTGTTATGTATGTTCATAAATTCTAAAAATTATATTGTGAATAAGTAATAACTGTATTATAAATGAAAGAATGAAAGTAGGCATACCTATTTGATAAATCACCTTGTATATAATGTAATTTGTTCATCAAAATAATAAAACTATATGAATAGATTTTTGTACGAGATGCCTATAAATATTATGATTTGAAATATTTGTCTGGATCTTTAGATGTTATAAATAATAAATGCTTAACTTTCGATACATAATATAAATTAGTCAATAAAGTTATATTTATTTGCTGTACCAAGACAAGTGGTAAAATTATTTTTCCCTTGTGTATTTTTATTGCATTACTCTGTTTCTATAAACTTCAATAGACTATTAACCAAAAATCAGACAATAAAACATAAACATTTTCTGAAAAATATTTAGTGCTTTATCATATTTTATAATATATTGATGGTTAGTTGTTATAATAAAATATAGTTTTAAGTTTTAATAAATACAAAAGAAATAAATATTTAAAAATTAAAAATAAAAATAAATATTTAAGTTAGAATTATGCAAGAGTTTTAGATGCTGTCAGTGTTAAATTATATTATTAATATTACCTATTTTTTTTCGATTTCATTTAGGTGTTTTATTTTATGAACTCCCAAAGCCAGTTTTTAAGAATATATTACATTTTGTTTAAGTTAAAATATTTTATTACGCATAAAAAATATACATACAGATATAAATTAAAATAAATTATATATTCATATAATTCACCTACTGTACTTTATAATAATATAGACTATATTTTTTTATCAACTAACAATTTAATTAATTTTAATTTTCTATATTTTTGTTACTTATAAAATTATTGAAATAAAACTAAACATTGTATAATAATACTATTGTACATTCTAATAAAGCTATTATTATATTTTCATCTTTCCATAACAATACAAGTATAATTCGTGTGTAATAAGTTGAATTATTATTATTCAATATTTTAGTATCATTGCAGGAAAAAGATCGTGTACCATCAAATTTTGAAATTATTAACGCAACGTTGCACGATAGGATCTATTTCCTCTGTTTTTGGGGAGACGCTAGAAAAATGATTCAATCCATTAACCGATTTAGTCCGGCTTTTTGCAGCTTATCTCAATACATTTCATTAATCATGTCACTGCAATGTTTAACTGACCCAGTTATTTTTTTTTATTTTCAGAAAATAAAAGTTGTATGAAATTACACCAAATACGTTGTGTACAAGTTTAAGTATCACGAAGGCTAAGAAAACATTTAGTATGCATTTCTCGAAGCGAATATTCGATGTATTATGCTATAGATTTTTATGAAACCCCAGGAAACTTGACGGGCACTTACAAAAGGGACGAAACATTTTCATGCATACACAAGCGATACGCAGCAAGTCTGAGTTTCTTTGACAGTAATGCGTTCCCAATGTACATCTGAGAGTGTTCAGATGGTTTTTTTCACCAAAACTTATATTTTTGAATTAATATTCATACATTATTCATAATACCAAAAAATATATATACCGTTCTTTGGTCCATTACTATTTACTATAATAATAAATCGCTCAGTTTAAGTTAGTTATTATTTAATATATAATACAAAATATAACTGACAATCGATCGCTAATTTATTTTCATATTTACCTGGAATTTGATTAATTTCAGAGATTAGAAACCCGAGTTAAAAAAATTTAATAATCATCATTTATTCAATTGAATTGGAATGTTTTTGATAATTCATCTTACACGAAAATAATATATGATGAATTAACAATTACAGATTGTGCAACAAATTTTTTCTTTTTGGTAAAGTTATAAATCAAAATTTATTTGATTTGTATTTTTTTTTTAAATATTTAATACTATTAATTATTAATTTATTAGTGTTTTTGAAACTTGTTATAATTTCTAATAAAAATATCAGCATTTTAGAATTATTATGAATAATGTTATTTATGTTGTTTTCCCTTAAAATGTGTATTCTTTTCGGGAAAAGTGTTAGAAAAAATATATGATAAGTCTTAATATAAAAATTATTAAGCCTTTGGTTAGAATTATATATTAGAATATAATTGGATGAGGTGTTTCAATGAAAATCGTAATGAACCATTTTCGTTGAAATAATTTTTGTAGTTTTTCGTTAAAGTTTGTTGAAAACTTTTTCATATGTTTTCACTTAGATTTGGTAATGAAATGCATTATTATTTTATTTTTTTTTATTGAGTTTCTGATTGAACTAATCTTAAATAACTTTGGCGTTGATTAAATTCGTTCATTTTAATTTTTGCAGAGCACGTTTTAAACCGCGTGTGTCTTATCCGAACTATCGGTTTAACTGACGGTTGTGATATTATTTTGACATTTAGATGTCCGATGTAGATTAGGACTTTATTCAATAATAATAATTGTAAATGTAAATGATACTTACAGATCGATTCCGAAGGGACGAGTGGGGACAATAGAGAAATTTTGCCATCACCATCACCACCACCACTATTATTATTATTATCAAGTTGAAAATGGGAGTGTAAAGTGATGGTGGCAACAGAAGTAGTAAATACTTACACATTATACTACATGCGCAATATACAATATACATATATACACACATATAACAATGATATCATCCCGGTTTTGTGCTTTATAATAATATGTTCAAACGCTATTCATGATGTATATATATATATATTACGCACATATACGATATATATCGTATATATATATATATATGCATGCGTAGAATATATACATACACGCAAATGTTATATACAATATAATATACATATAATATTATAGACTAGTGTGTTTTAGTCGAACAACGATATAATAATTAAACATTTTGCAGAACTGCAGAAGTGTATGCGTATTAATAATTTTGGAATTTCCTTTCACGTTGTAATATGATTTTGCAACGGTAAAAATATTTGATTATTATTGTTGTAAGTATGGTGGGTTATAAGGGACAGGGTTATAAGAGGGTTATAAGAGACAGAGGCGTGTTCAGTGGGTAGGTCTGGTAGGCCTAAGTCTACCTTGATTTTAAACCCTTAAAATATACCCAAAATATGCATTTTATAATGTATATTGTAATATTCAATACAATATTACAATATGAAATTATGTGTAAAAAAAATATATATATCAAAAACAAGTAATTTTAGATTTTGAGAAGAACAATGAATGTATTGATTTTGCAATGTGTATGGTTTTTTTTTTGTGTCTATGATATAAGTAGTCTATAAGATACTTCGATTTTCAACTTTCAGGGTGGCTTTAGATAGCAAATTGGATCTAGTTTATACTTTGGAAAGATTAAAATCATCATAATTTTTTTCATAACTCGAAAAAACAACAAAAATTAAAGAAAAATGGGAATTTTAAAACAAATCCAATTTTTGATAAGATCGATATTCGAAAACAAATAATCCTAGATAATTGAAATTTTTATCAAATATATATGATAATATATTATTAAATTTAAATTTAACACATTCATAACAGATAAGCATCTAAAATGTACAGCAGAGCGGTATATACTTGCTTATTTTTGAAATTTTTTTTTTTATTAAATACATTGAAAATTTAATTTGAAATGTACCCGTTGATGTACTGCGTAGGTTTAAGTATTGATGATAAAAACTAAATACCTAACCTATGATCATAGACATCTATGTGACAGTGTATCGATTTTATTTTATGCCGTAAATAATAATCTATCCATAAATAAAATAAATAAACATCGAATTAATCATCGATCCTCGAGTGCTTATCGGATAAACACGCATTCACGAAAAGTCAACTATTATATTATTATATGATAAAAATCATAAGAAAGAGATTTTTTGACGATGAGGAAAATTAAAACATATTTATTATTTACGGACACCTCTAGGCTACGACAATTGACAATTGACAATTATTACGCGTTTTAATAATTTATCGTTGATATCAATCGTTCAATCGTAAGTGAATTAAGTTCATATTTATTAAAAATATATTATAATTTATAAAAAATTATTATTATTAGTAAACATTATATGATTGATTACAAACTATTGTAATGTAAAGTATATTTAAAAAAAATATCTTAAAAATTCTCTTGAAAAAAATTGTGTACTCACTCATATTACACAAATTACTCTTTAAACCTGATCTGTCCTGAATTTTGAGTCTGGATACGCCTCTGGATAATAATATTAATATGATTATGATATTATTTATTATTGATATTATCAAGTAATAATTAGCTTACGTCGTAAGAATTGATTTGCTAGTTTATGATCGAAACGAATAGAGAATTTTTTTTTAATGTGTTTCGTCATTATGTTTAGAATAGTTTACTTGAATCTTCAACTTTGGTGGATATTTTCTGCTACCAAATTTTATCTAATTGGCACTTTGGGGAATCAACAGTAGAAAAATCTGACTTAGTATTTTTTGGAAAATTAATAATAATAAAAAAAAAAAATAACAGGAAAACAGGAACATTTACGCAACACTAGTTTTTAACAATACTGATTTTGTTTTTTGTCGATGTAACTCAGAAAGGAATAACAGCTGGTTAACTTGAAATTTTTATAAATATTTATATTTACAATTTATAGAAATTATTATATTATATTTAAAAAATTATAATTTAATAATATTAAAAAAATATAGTAATATAATATTTAATTATATTTTAATTTTTGAGCTGCTTCTAAATATTTTAAATGTTTGATTACTTTTTAATTTTTTTGAACTGTAAATACCAGGAATTTATTCACTCTATTCTAGAGTACTTCAGTATTGACTTATATGTAAGTCATAACATGTAATTTCTTGAAAAACAAAAATAGTTTAACCTATCAAATTCTGAAAGTAAAAATAATATAAGTATAATATAAAGTCCTTAGAAATATTTACTAATTCATTCGTTCCATACACTCAAAATTGTTTTTCATGCACAATGATTTATCATTAAATTAAAATTAGAATGACTAAGTCACCGCTGACAAGGAACACTTAAAACGTTAAAACCTACAATTATATAGCAAAAGCGAATTCTTTTATAAAAAAAAATATTTTACTTACTAGTGACGTATGTGAGTTTAGTCTTAATACCGGTGTGGAATAGCGGAGCGTCCGCTGATACTTCGCATTTATAATATCCCGTCAATTCCCTTTGAACGTTCACAATGGTTACTTTGTTTTCATCGGATTCTTGTACCTAAATATAAAATTACATTTTATCAAATCGACAGTTTCAAACGGGAGTTTCCCGAGTGCATCTCAAAATTATGTTTTTTTAATGTTCCCAGTGTGTCCGTATTCCGTAATAAGGTATCACCCGAGTGCGTTTTAAGAAAAAAAAGGTCATATTTTTGATATAGCTCTAGTGCGTTCCAGTTCATTTAGAGTTACCCAGAATGCATCACGAGGAGTTGAACTGGCTTACACTCCAAAAATATTTTTGATTCTTATTTATAATTATATATTTTATTTTAGTTTATACCCTTGAATTAGGACAATTAGTGTACTAATTATTTTTAAAAGTTCTTTTTTTTTTATTCAAGATAAATTTTATTTATTTATTTTCATGAATCATTATAGAAGTTGAAATGCAATTTTCTATTGTTTAAAACCATAGCTTTCAAAATAAAGTACTATAGTTGTATATTTGAACCAACATATTTGATTATCGTAAAATCACTCAAACTTGTATCTTGAAAGATTTATTTGATAATTTTATCTTAAATAGGATTTATAGCTGTGAACTGAGGACGCACTTGGGCTATCAATATAATTTGTCCATATGATTGCGAACGCACTCAAACTATAAAAAAGGTAAAAATTAAAAACGGGACGCACTCGGGGTATCCCATTCTAAACATTTGGTCTGTAATTTATATATATAGATATACATATATAAATGCATTATGTCATAGTTTATAAAAGTTTATAGCAATAATAATTGCTAAGTTCATGACAGCATTATAATGTTATACTTATTATGTATTAATTAAATTCTCAATAATTAATATTAGAATACGTTTCGTATATTTTATTATTATTGTTTGATAAACTAATATAACCGTTGTAGTTGTATGCGTGTTTTTCTGTACATATTGTATTCTTTAATTTTTATAACATTTATTTCATCATTTAATAAATATAATAAATTATAAATAAAAATACTCGAAGATTTGATTAGATTTTTTAAAATTATATTAAATAGATATATAATATAATGAACACATATTGATAAATAAGTTTACTGGAACATTATGTTTATTTTAATGGAATTTCAAAAATAATTGTATAAATTATATGTATTTTGCGTAAGTGAAAATGAACTTAACGATAATATTGCCTTGGCAGGTGTACATACATTTTGTACGTTATATGGTTAGCAATGAACTAGTTAATAGGTTTTTACTTTAAAATACTTATGATAAGTTATATATTATATAGTTATACTACCATTTAATATATTACCTATATATATATATATTAATTGTACAATTTTAGAAATAACACGAACGAAGTTAATGTTATCATTTTTATAATGTTAAATATTAGTTCATTGTTTTGAATATAGATATATACATATGCTGAATAATTTGTTTAATTTAAATTAGTAATATAATTATTATAAGCTTATAACTAAAATAAATTCAATGGTTTAAATAATTAATGAATATAGACTATTACTTATCAATATTATTACTATATTAAAAATAATCTATAGTTATTATACCTAACTACAATAAGTTCTTCAGTGTTTTTTTAAAAAAATAATTTTTGTAATAGGCATTAAACTTTTTCTATTTTTTTATTTTTATTGTTATAATAAATTATAAGTTAAAGTCACATTATATTCATGTTTAAAACTCAAAAACATATAGAGTATTATTAGTACTTTTGTTTATCTAGTAATTAATATACGCTTAATATTAAGTAGGAAAGACGTTGGAAAAATAAATAATGTGAATAACGATGATTAAAATTATTGAGTACATGAGTCAGTGACTATGTAAACATCCACATAAGCATTGTATACGTTTCACTTTAACCATAACAGCTTCTTAAGAGAATGTCTCATAATATGTGTCATCTTCGTCTTATCAAACGTACTAAATAAGTAGCAAATTTACATTCTGAAGTTTCAAAGTGATGGTTTTAGTTTTAACATCAGGGTGAATATTATAAAATATAATATAATATAATATTATTATTAATCGTATTAAAAAATTTACAAAGTGACAACATAATCTATTTTTTTTTTTAAATATTTTAATCTTAAAGTAAGATTTGAGCATTTTTAAATTAGGAAATTGTATATAATCATATATTTTTTAAAAATAAAATATCGAAAAAAAACAAATAATTATATTCTTACCTTAAGCTTAAAGTAAATTTCTTTAGTATTAAAACTAAAATTGGAATAGTTAAACACAAATTTGCGATGTTGAACGTTTGTAAGACTAAGATATAATATAGACTAAGAGTATATTTTTAATTATTTTTTTTATAAGCCATATAGGTTTTTAAATATGAATAAAAAGATTTAAGTTGGAATATGTTTAAATTGTTAGTGAGTTAGTTAAAAAAAAAAAATTAGTTCAAAAAAGTGTATGATATGTATTTTTTTTAAAATTATTTTCCCTTTATCTTTATGGGGTTCACTTTGTCCTAGTATTCAGATCCAGTAAATAATGTGTAATATTACTAATATATTTTCCAAATGTTTATTTTACTATCAATATATTCTTATGTCATCTTTTTAAAATATTCAAAACATGAATTTTTTTCAATTCTTTTTAAAGTAAATTTAAAAATAAATTATTAGTGTAAAATTTTAATGTCATATTTTGACCACTCAAATTAATTTATTTACTTTACTTAGATTTCCCATATTATTTGATAATAGTTATTTATTTATATAAAAAAAATTCTTTTCATCTAATGACACGTCATGTAAATTGAATGCATTTAATAGAATTTATTTTGCGTAAATGTTCTGTGTTCAGTTTAAAAATAAGATTTTATTACACTTTATTTGTTTTTAATATTTTAATATAGTTTACGATGTCAAAAATTAATGAAATTGCTTGTAATTTTACTTTACTCTTAGAGATATTAACGAAATTGTACTTATGTATTGTATATTTAACTATCTTACTCAAGTTTAAGTAAAATTATAAGAATATATCTACCAACAAATTTTATTTTAAAATACAAAAACAGGCAGTTTGGAATAATACAATCACGAAAGTCTTGAAACTTCACTACATCCATATAGCTATTTTCAATTATTTTTTCATAATAAAACATTGTTGAAATTAAGTTTTTATTTTATTTGAATGACTATTTTAGAAATAAACTTTTTTGAAGTTGTTTTGTACCTAATTATTAATTTGAGTACTTATCTATAGGCAACTAGCTACTTACAGGTAGCTTTTACTACCAATACGTTTTATATTATGTTTATTAAATTATAAGCCCGAACTTTATAATACTATATATTTATAAAAAATGTTAATAATGCAAATATATTAAACATAGTTGGATTTAGATAAAAATAAACAAAATTACTGTTACATTGTTTATTGACGTAATTAAATAAACGAGTGAAGTAAATGTATAAATAAAGTACATGGTATTTTTTAAATAATACAAATTATAGGTACAACAAAAAAACGTAATCACAATAATCTACAGTTTCTGGAGGAGTTTTGAATATTTAAATAGGTTAATGGAAAATTTAGTTTTAAATTTATGTGTGTAAAAAGACTAAGTGGTCTAAAGCTTTGATTCAATGTATTGTTTCAATAATTCTTTTTTTTTTTGTTAACTGAAAGTGCTTATGCAAATTACATGTAAATTCAAAAATGTTATTTCGGTATAACTACATATCACGTTATAGCAGGGTACATCAGCTGCAGTTCATTTCTAAAGAAAAAGATTATAAACTTTTCTTTTCATTGTTTAATAATAATATATGTTGGTTTACTCAGACATTTAGAGTTAGAGTTTCAATTGGATATTAGATAAACATAAAATATGTGTACTAATTTTAAAGTAAAATTAGTAAAACTTAAAACTAAGTAATTAATAAATTATTTTTTTGTTATATTTATATTGGTTTTGTATATATTTATTATATTATAATACTTACTGTATTGTCTGTATTATAATAAATTTAGAAGTTTAATAAATTAATGCAATAATATACAATTTTACAGTTTAAGTAATAAAACCATAAATTAGTTAAATATCATTATTTATTGCCTACGTTGACTATTGACTTAAGTTATTTTCTTAATTTTTGCTTATTTTGATATTGCCTTACCGTATCAGTTATTACTGTGATAACCTAATTATAAATGTAATGAGATCATTACCTATAAAGTAGTAAACATAATAAACAATAACATTTGATTATTATAATAGTGCAGTTGAAAAATGATAATGTGCTAGTTTATTTTTCACTTCAATGGTAACAGCAACATTTTATAGGTAGTGAATAAATAATGAGAAATACATTTAAATTTAAAATAATTTATATTGAAAAATACAACACTAACTAGCCACAATAAAATACAAGTCAGAAACAAGCCCTACCAATAGAACCAAAGTGTATAGTCTAGGTGTTTAATAAGAGAGCTAGGAATAAGGAAAACGCTTAAACAAAGATTTTATTCTGTATTAAACAATTTGTTATTAATTAGTATTGTAAAAATAATTAAAATTAACAGGGAAAAGGTGTAATAATATGATAATGAATAATAATATAAATGTGATAAGTGTAATAAACATGAAAAATAATTACGTTTGATTATTACAATAATCAATAACGATTAGTCATTACTGAGAATAGATGGCCGGCATGATGATAATACTTATTTATGTAGTTCATATAATTTTTGTATGATTTAAAAAATTTTTGATTACAGTTTTATTATTATTACATTGATTTTTTATTACTGCATAATTAATTATGTAACTATTATAACTATTTATATAGTAGATATATTAAATCGTGTACAATAAATTATTATACATTTTCAATGTTTATAACTACGGATCTCGTACAATATTATCTCAACTCTATATTTTGAATTTAAATTAAACACAAAATGGGTTCCCAGAAACGATACACGAATCAATACAAGTGAAAGGAAAAACACAATCTAATAAAGAGTTCAATCGTCAAAAATCGAATGA